TGTTGTCTCTAAAAGTTTGATATCAGCAAACTTTTTGAATTTTAAAACTCTCTGTTAAGTATCCAAAAAAAGCCACTGACTACTGCGATTTTTTTGTTGAGAAACAATGGAAGAAAATTTGGAATATTTTATAAACATTTGATTTTAGTTTCAAGCAATTTGCATTTATTTTGTTTTATTTCAAAAGTATACTGCTAAAAATTTGCATAAAAATAGCTGGTAGCTTAGAATGCATTTTTTGGTTTTTTTACCAGAATTGCATTTGCAATATGATGACGAACGGTTGGTAATTTTTAAATTGTTATTTTATTTTGTTTTTTTTTATTGAAAAAGTTAAGCATGTAATTGAAGAGTACTCAATTACTGTGATATTTTATATGCATAATATCACTGCACTAATTTCAGCATTTAACTTTTTATCAGTGATAATATGTGGACAATTTTTAATTTTGGTAGCAGCTGAGAAAATACACAAATTAAGTCAGGACGCTATAATTTCAAACATCGTAGGCAGTAGAACAAGTGAAATTCGAGGCTTTTTCAAGAAGGATAATTCTCTTGTCAAACCATATGGTACTATTTTTTGAAAACTTTTTAATACTATTCTTATCCATAAATACTTTTATCATTTTGATCAAAAAGACTTATCTTTCAAAATATAAAAATATCAATTTCCTTAAAAATTATTATTATTCAAATATTTTGCATAATTTAATTTCAGATATGCATACTAATATAAAACATTGGGAAATAAGAGGGAATGCGTTAATTACGCCAAATTATATCAGATTGACAAACGATAAAAGTTTTCAGCATGGAGGCATTTGGAGTCAAATTGTTTGCTTTAAAAATTTCCATATTTATTTTATTGAATGAAAAAAAATTAGCATAACTGCAATGCATTTATATATTTTCAATTTAACTTTTTGTATTATAATTGCGAGTTTTAAAAATTTAATTAAAATTAATAATTAACTTGGCAAATATCAAAATATCGCCTCTATAGGGAGAAAGAATTAATATATATCTTTTGATTGAAGTTGGAACACTCATTTATTTATGCATTATTTTTTAATTACTATAATATATTGTTCTGTATTGCATTCAGTGCTAGATCTTTAAGCATTGATTGATTCCGATATTAATCGACTGGATATTAATTAATAAATTTTTTGATTTTGTAGCCAGTAAGAGCAAGTGAATGGGAATTAAAACTGAATTTTAAAGTTCAACCAGCAAGTGATACATTTATGGGTAATGGCGTTATTCTACGTTATGCTCGAGACTGGATATTAGCAAAACACAAGATACAAATGCTTAATTTAATAAACAATACTAATAGTGCTTTCACTATGTATATGGAACCTAAGGTAGCATGTTAGAAAGTAGTTAGTAGTTACTATTAACCTAATCATTTTTTTGAAAAAAAAGATTGAATTTGGCTTATTTTTCAAAAACAGAAAGTAGCATAAAGCAGTAAATTTAATTTATTCTTAGCAAAAAAGAGCTAATAAAAGATAAAATAACTAACCACAGTTTTCTTACAAAATTCAAATTTTAGTGCAAAAACTACTAAAAATGATCGGAATTCAGAGTTGCATACTGCATAATTAGAGTTTAATTATGGATATTCAGAGCTTGTTTTTGATTCAAAAATAAACTTGCTGAATGCTTTATATCCTTTTCACTTTTTGAAATACTTTATAATAACACAGTATTGATACGAATATGCTTGTAATTTAATCACTGATTCGTTAATAATTTTTGCCACTCAAACAAACATACAGAATTTTTTCAGAATAAGGCACAATATCTGAAGGCCATAGTGTCCCGAAATACCAAGAATAATAGCAGTAAAGCAATAAGTCAATTTGTGCAAAAAAGTTGTCCAGTGCAATTATACAATGGTTTCTACGCACAGAAGATTTTAATCCGTTATGCATTGAATACTCTTACAGTAATTTTTTCAATTATATTTCGAATGCTTTTTAAAGATTTTAATTTTTCTTAAAAATTTTCATTTTTTCATTTGGTAATTTTGTCAGTGACTTAAATTGTCTTTAAAATTCTAGCAAAAGCAATTTTTATTTGAATAAGAAATCTGAATCAGTTCAAAATATTTAGATATTTCTGGAGAATCATAGCACAGATGCCTGGGACGTGTGCTTAAGTATAAACGATGTTATTTTGCCAACTGGTTTTAACTTTGGTGTTTTTGCTTTCACACAAAAAATTGGCGGTAAATGTTATCAATTCAGCTAACTTTAATTCGTTGTTACTTTTTCAAGATGAAATCTCTACTATTATAAAATAATATTAATTGAAAAAAAAAAGATTAAACTAGACTAATGTAGACAATCTCATTTCAAGATATTTGCTACTTGAAAAATTCTAATTTGTTAATTTCTTTAGATATTCACGATATTTATTCAATCAAATTCTATCAACAGGAATTATTAAGTGAAGAGTATAGAAGTTCTTATCATACGTCAAGATCCGTCGTAAGAAAACATCATTTAGCAGTAGACCAAGTAGTTTCAGAAACGATGATATTTCTTACAAAAATATTAATACTATTTTGTGCAATTCTGCTTCTCGGCCCAATATTCTTCTTTGTGATTAAGTATGATAAGCGAATTTTTAGGAGAAAACAACGATTCTATTGAACTCAATCACTGTTATTCTCTTACAGTATAATTATAAAAACTGTTGTAAATTAATTTATAATTAAAGTTACTTTTAAATGAAACTGTAAATCAGTATTGATTATAATAAATACTGATTTACAGTTTCAACGTTCCACGTTACAACGAATCATTTCAATTTAAACAACCTTAATGCAATGTTATATCATGGCAGTGAATTCTTACCTCTCTTCTCTCTCATACAAATTTCAATTACTTTTGATAGAACTTTCTTCAAATATACTTCGCTAAAAAGCTTACAAGATGAGATTCATGCATGAGTTATACCGCTATCTATAACATTACATTGGTACCATTTATTACCAAGAAAATACCACCGAAATTATTGATCTGAACCAAAACAACGTGAAATGTATTCTTGAATTTGTGAGAAAATATTAATGCAGTGTAAATAGTCATATCTCACTGTGATTCAAAGTTTAGTTATTATTATTTTTTGCCCCAGTTTAGCATATTCTTGTGTAATTTGCATAACTGCTTTTTTTACTTATCTCAGTGACATTTAACAATTATTACGTAAAAAATATGCCTTCATTTTTTGTTTGTTTCAACACGTTATTTTAATTAGAAAAAGAAACGGACAAAAATGAAGACACGAAGTGAGTACCAAAAAATACCAAACCCAAAAACCAAATTAAAAAATATATTTATCTACAAGTTTTCGGTGGATAATAATTATTTTTTAGTGTAAGCATTTAATACGCTTGAAATAATTTTTTTTTTTAAATAGTAAAAAGAGTTAGCTATAATGAAAATTACTGATGTGCGTATATTTTGAACTTATTACTGCACAATTAATGATTTCTTGCACTTATTGCAAATGAATAATTGTTTTTAGAGTTCTCAGTGTTACCAATGATAGCATTACTCATAACACTTGGATTCAAAATAGTACGTCAACTTACAAGTGAATACGTCAATTTTTCATAGATTTATTTTATAGCACTAATTGTATATTAACTTATTTTCAAATTGTACTGAATTTAGAACAATAAGACCTCAAAAAACAAGTGCATTACTCAATCACTTGTTTACTTTTAGCAAATAATCAAAACTACTTTCTTATTTATCTTCCGTACATTACACTGATACTTCATAAAATCAACATACCCATAACTGCCATGGTACGGAAAATGCTATACGTATATATTTCTATAATTAACACGTGTAGATAAATATTTCACTTATTTAGCCATGCCTTATTTCTGTTGTTTACTGACATATTTGAGTATTTTGAGGATGGATATGTGATTATTTATATGTCATCACGTGCTATCTTGTAAATATAAATTAAAGTGTCAATTCAAGAGAGCTCATGCGTGTGCAAATACAATAAACATGAGCATTAGTATTGATATTTGTACCTTATATCTATCTATACATCGGTATCAAATTAACGCATATTTATAACGTGAAATGCATTCTTGAGTGAATACCTGATAAATTTTTGCTTTCTTGCAAGCATTAATTTCCACGTTCGTCCAAAGA